ACACGAAGTCGTCCTCGTCGTCCTCGTCCTCCGAGTCGTCGAGGAGAGGGATGAGTAGCAGAAGAGGCAGGATGAGGTTGAGGAGGTCGAAGGAGGTGGAGGAGGAGCGAGGAGGAGCGAGGAGGAGGAGGAGGAGGAGGAGGAGATGAGATGGTCAGGAGATCGAACGATTACTTCATGCGGTCTGTTTTCCTCATGTCTCGCATGCGGGAGATTGTTCAGGGCTACAACAAAGACATCAGGTCAGTGTTTGTGGGATGATTTCTTGTTGTTCCTCCTCCTCCTACTACTACTACTCCTCCTCCTCCTTCCTCTCGGACTCCTCCTCCTCCTCCTCTTCCTCTCAGACTCCTCTGTCTCCCTCCTTGTTCCTCCCTCCCTTCTCTCTCTCCCTCTCCTCTCTCACACACTTTCCCTACCTCCTCTACCTCCCTCGTCAGTCTCCTCCTCCACCGTCTTCTCTGGCTCATCTTGACATGTCACTGTTGCAGCCCCAACGAGGTCAGCAAGGGTCACAACATGTGCGAGCATGCTCTCTTCCTCTCCTCACTCCAGCGCGAGCACCTCTCCCAGTTCCGCACCCTCATGGAGCAGCTGCAGGGCCTGAGGCGTCGGCTCGAGCTCGTGGAGGAGGAAGCGAAGAGGAAGGAGCTGCCGCCGCAGTCGCAGGCGCACCAGCTGCTGAAGCAGAGCTCTCTTGTCTTGGACAAGCTGAACCTCTCGCTGCAGCAGCTGGACATCCTGCATGAAGGAGCTGTGAAGAAGTGCGGAGGAGACTACAAGAGCGCGGGGAGGAACCGGGAGCTGATGAGGGAGGTGACTGAGGGGATGGAGGAGACGTCTGGTCGGTTCAACGACACCCTCTCGCTGCTCATTCACAGACCTCTTGTCGGCCGGGCTGAGGTGCAGGAGATGGAAAGAATGCTGTCTGAAGTCTGCTCCTTGTTCGGACGATGTCGGCAGAAGATGGGAGGAGGAGGAGGAGGAGGAGGAGGAGCAGCAGCAGCAGCGGTTGCAGAGGCGGAGGACGCTGTATCTGTTACTCTCCGACGGGTCTGCACACAGGCAGAGGAAGAAGCTGGAAAGCTGAAGGAGGAAGTGAGCAAGCTGATGAGAAACTCCTCCTCTTCCTCGTCATCCAAGTGGAAGGACAAGGAATGGTGGAGACGGGCGCAAGTCTCAGCAGCTGATGCGACCAAGACAGTCGTCGACATCATCTCGCGCGTCTCCTCTGCCCTGCATGAGGACTCAGAGGCGGTAGAGGAGGAGCAGGAAAAGGATGTCAAGCAGGAGGAGGAGAAGGAGCAGGAGCAGGAAGTGAAGAAGGAGGAGGAGCCGGAGGTCGAAGAAGCTTCTTTCCGACTTCCCGACAGTCACAAGAGGGTGATGGAGCTGCTTCATGTTGACTCGCTACAGTCGCTCTCGGCTCAGCTTGACTCGCTCCTCTCCCTCATCGCAGAGGCCTCGGAGCACTCCTCCTCCTCATCCCTGCTCCACTGCTTCCTCCTCGAAGTCAGCCATCTTCCTCCTCTCCTCGACCTTCTCCTCTCCTGCTGCCGCGAACTCAGCAACCGGGCCTGTACGTTCCACAAGGCCTGTGCGAAGCTTTGCTTCATCCTGCTGGGAACGCTGAGCGAGATATTCACCAACGGTTTCTGCAGGAAGGAGGGAGAGACGGAGGAGGGCGAGACGGAGGAGAACGTGGAGGGGATGGGAATGGGGGAGGGAGAGGGAGAGAAGAACGTGAGCGATCAGATTGAAGACGAGGAGCAGCTGGTGGGGCCGAGCAGGAGGGGCAGGAGAAAGAGGAAAGTTCGAAGCAGCAGCGGGAGAAGGGGGAGGAAAGCGTCGAGATGCAGCAGGACTTCGATGGGGAGCTGGACGACGTGGACAAGGAGGAGGAGAAGGAGGAGGAAGAGGAAGAGGAGGAAGGCGAGGAGGAGATGGAGAGGGAGATGGGAGAGGTGGGATCGGACGAGGAGCAGGTGCTTGACGAACGGCACGGGGACGAGGAGCTGAGCGATGAGGAGGAGAAGGAGGAGGAGAAGTACGAGAAGGACAACCCCCTGAAAGGACAGGAGGACAAGATGGACGCTGAGATGCGAGGAAAAGAAGAGGAGGAGGAGGCGGAGGAGGAGGACAAGTCGAAGGAGGAGGAGAACAAGGAAGGGGAGCGGAAGGAGAACAAGGAGGGTGAAGAGGAGGAGATGGAAAGCGAGGAGGAGGAGGAGGAGGGACCAGGAAAGGCTGAGGAAGTCGAAGACTCGCACGGGATCGACGCGAACCCGGAGGAGAAGAAGGAGGAGGAGGGGGAGCTGCCGGAGGATATGCAGCTGGACGGGGAGGATGCGGAGGAGCAGGAGGAAGGGAAGGAGGAGGAGGGGAAAGAGGGAGAAGACGCGGAGAAGGAGGAAGAGGAGGAAGGGAAGGAGGAAGGAGACGTGGCTGAGCCGGATGTGGAGGAGGAGGCGGAGGACATGGACGAGGAGGGGTTCAGAAACGACGGAGGGGAGGAGCTGCAGGAGGAGGCTGGGGAGGAGGCGGAGACTGGGATGGACCTTGAGGAAAACAAGGCGGAGGACACAAACGCTGCGCAGAACGATGATGGGGGAGGGCAGAGGGGAGCGGCGATGAGCGGACTGAGCAGCACAGTGAGCGGAAGCGAGGAGAGGAAGGAGGAGAGACAGCAGCGGAGCTCCGGGAACGAGGAGAGCAGCATGCAGGAGAAGCCGATGGAGAACAGGGAGGGAGAGGGAGGAGAAAGAAGCCGTGAGCAGCAGGAGGCAGCGGAGGAGGAGGAGAAGGCGGAGAAGAAGGCGAGGGAGAGAGAGGAGGCGAATCCCTTCCGCAGCCTCGCCAAGGAGGTGGAGGAACAGATCCATGCGTCTGCTCGGGACAAGCAGGAGGAGAGAAAGGCGGAGGAGGCAATGGAGGAGGAGGCGGCGGAGAAGAAGGAGGCGAGCAGCTACGAGTATGCTGAGGACAAGGAGATGGCAGACGCGACGGCGATGGGGGCGGCGACAGAGGAGCAGATGAAGGAGCAAGAGACAGGAGAGGTGGAGCAAGAGAAGAACGGGGAGGAGGAGGGAGAGGGAGAGGGAGAGGAGGAGGGAGGAAAGGAGGAGAAGGAGAAGGAGAAAGGAGAGAAGGAGGGAAGCAGCCTGGAGGAGGACAAGAGGTTTTCTCAGGATAAAGTTCGTGCGGTGCTTCCAAAGGAGCAGAAGGCAGAGGAGGAGAAGGAGGAGAAGGAGGCGGCAGAGGCAGTGGAGATGAAGGTTGACAGGAGCAAGGAAGACGCTGAACGGCAGAACCAGCTCAAGGATGCGATCAGAACGTCGGTGAAGGAGGAAGAGGAGATGGCAGATGACGTGGAGGGAGGAGGAGGAGAGGAGCAGGAGGAGCAGGAGATGAAGGAGGAGGAGAAGCAGGTGGTCGAGAAGAAGCAGAGGAAGAAAGGAGGAGGAGCGGACGGGGCTGTGGGGGGAGTACGAGAGGAGGGTGGCGGGGCAGGCAAGGGAGCTATGCGAGCAGCTGAGGCTCGTGCTGGAGCCGACTATGGCGACGAAGATGAGAGGAGACTACAAGAGCGGGAAGAGGATCAACCTGAAGCGCATCATCCCCTTCATCGCCTCACAGTTCAAGCGCGACAAGATCTGGATGCGCCGCTCCCTCCCGGTCAAGCGAACCTACCGCATCCTCCTCGCCGTCGACAACTCTCGCAGCATGTCCGCCATGGGCGCCGCCGAGTACGCGCGGGAGGCGCTTGCGATGTTGTGGAAGGCGCTGGGGCAGCTGGAGGTGGGAGAGGTGGGGGTGATCAGCTTCGGGGAGGAGGAGGGGAGCAAGGTCGTGCACCCCCTCGACCGGCCTCTCTCAGACGCAGCAGCAGCAGAAGTTCTGTCCTCCTTCACCTTCGACGGGGACGCGACGCGGGAGGGGAGCACAGGACCCTTCGAGGACATGCTGAAAACCTCGCTCAAGACCCTGCAAGACGCCCAGCTCAAGTCCAGCTGGTCGGGGGGGAA